TTCGCTGGATCATAGTAACAGCAAGGGAATTCCAAAAAACATCTGCTTCATTGACTAAGCTAAAGTCTTTAACTGTGGAAAACTCAAAAAGATCGGAATACCACACCACCTTACCTGTCTCCTAAGAAACCTGTATAAAAGATAAGAAGCAAAAGTTAGAACCGGACATGAAATGAGCTGGTTCAAAATTGGGAAAGGAGTACATCAAGGCTGTATATTGTCACCCTGCTTATTTAACTTATATGCAGAGTACAACATCCAAAATGCCAGGCTGGATGACTCACAAGCTGGAATCAAGACTGCTGGGAGAAACATCAACAACCTCAGATATGCAGATGATACCACTCTAATGGCAGAAACTGAAGAGGAGCTACAGAGCCTCTTGATGAAAGTGAAAGAGGAAAGTGAAAAAGCTGGCTTAAAACTCAACACTCACAAAACTAAGATCATGGCATCCAGTCCCATCACTTCATGGCAAAGAGACAGGGAAACAATGGAAACAGTGATACACTATTTTCTTGGGCTCCAAAATCACTATGGATGGTAACTGCAGCCATGAAATTGAAAGACTCTTGCTCCTTGGAAGAAAAGCTATGACAAAGCTAGGAAGCATATTAAAAAGCAGAGACATCACTTTGCCAACAAAGGTCCCTATAGTTGAAGCTATGGTTTTTCCAGTAGTCATGTACCAGTGTGAGAACTGGACCATAAATAAGGCTGAATGCTGAAGAACCAATGCTTTCGAACTGTGATGCTGGATAACTCTTGAGAGTCCCTTGGAGAGCAAGGAGATCAAACCAGTCAATCCTAAAAGAAATCAACCCAGAATATTCATTGGAAGGACTGAAGCTTCAATACTTTAGCCACCTCATGTAAAGAAATAACTCACTGGAAAAGACCCTGATGCTGGGAAAAATTGAGGGCACGAGAAGGGGACAACAGAGGATGAGATGGTTGGATGATATCACTGACTCAATGGACGAGTTTGAGCAAACTCAGGGAGATGGTGAAGGAAAGGGAAGCCTGGTGTGCTGCAGTCCATGGACAGAGAGTTGGACACAACTCACTGAACAACAACAAAAAATTATAACTTTTAAAAATTACCATCCTGTTGACAGTTATTCTGCCCATGTATCACTGATTATTTAGAAAGACTAACAAACTATAAAACTACACTAAACCACCATACTGGCAGCTTACAAACAAGGAGTTGACAGGACATCCGACTCCACTCATTAAAAGTCCTTAAAGTTCAGGCATTTCCTAAACTAACTGTAACATTTATATAATTTTAAGTTTATAACTAGCAAGTCTTCACTTTTAGTTTCTGAAAACCGAATTTCCACTCTTATTTGTAAGTATAAATAATAAAAGCATTCATTTGTTCAGTATTAATTAGACCTTAAGTGAAACAAACGTCTGGGGCCAGCGGGGGTGGGTGGGACAGGACAACTTTCAATTAAATATGTTGAAAGAACTTGAACAACCAGTTATTAGGAAAAACACTTCAGCTTTGCTACTGAGAGTGCTACTAGTGAGCATCAGCATCAGCACCATCTCAGGAGCTTCTAAGAAACATGCTCATCCTGAGCTTCTAAGAAATATGCTCATCCTGAGCTGTTTTCCAATCAACATTGAGATTGTACACACACCTCTTCGCCAAAAGATTATACTCAGATGACACGGGTGTTATGTTCTTCTGCTATTCTCAGAAGTGGGAAATAATCACCCATCAGTCAGGAATCTTTCTTCGTCACTAGAGATTAAAACCACTAACTCAGAGCTAAGGTGCTCCTTATGCAGCCCTCTCATTCCATCTTCTCCCACTGTCTGTAGTACACTGCCTAGCACAGTGAGGCTCTCAAAAAAATATTCAGCAATTAATCAATAGCACCCATACGTGATGAAATAAGACACAGGAAAATAAATAATTAGGCCACTTAGAGATGTTAGGATACTTCGTCCTAACTAACTATGCTAATTAAATGTATAAAAGGAAATTCATCTGCTTGTGGTTTTACGAACATTTTTCTGGAATTTAAAATTTTCTGGACTTTTCTGGGGTTTATGGAAGCAATACAACCATCTCTTTATTTCTATTTTATTCACAGACCTCATGGCCTTATCTGACTCCACTGTTTCCTTCTACTTTAATAAACCTTATTGGCTCTGCCTCCAAAACACAACCAGACCCAAAATGCTTCTTACCAAGTCCAGTACCTCCCCCAGAATCACCAATGTCTACTGCCAGGATTACAGAACACCACCCTCCCCCAACCTTAAACCACGTCTCAGTATAGCAGCCAGAGTAAACCTCTTAAAATGTGCATCAGACGGTATTATCTCACTGCTCGAAATCCTGCGATGGCTGCTCATGTCAGAGCAGAGCTAAGGTCCTCCCACACTCACCCCTCTGCACCGCCTTCCCTGCTCAGCCCTGCCTGCCTCCAGGCTGCTCCTGGCCGTCATGTGGACACATACCTGACCTGGCTCTCATGTTTGGCCCACAACCTGGCTCACCCTCTACTTTCCACAGGTCTCTCCACTGAAATGTCACTTCTCAGTGAGGCTGTCCCTGGCTACTTCACCCAAAGCTGTCATCCCTCTTCCCATTTCTCCTTCGCATTTACCACAGTGTAGCATGCCCTGTATTTGACTTAACTTTTTTATTGTGTTTCTCCCAATTCAAATATGATCAAGGAGTTCGGTCAGTTTTATTTATGCTACAGCACAATGCCTGATGCTCAATAAACAGTAGCTGAGTATTTTTTTACGTAAATTCACCTGGGGAAAAAAAGAAAAGCAAGATTGTTCAGTCATATAAAACAATAACCAGAACTGCAGAAAAGTACCTTTTTGTCTCATTTTTTATCTCGTGTTGTTCTCTCTTCTTTTCCATCATTTTTCCCCATCTATTCTTTGGCAAATCTCTCTGAGGCAGTGGTATTGCATGCTGAACATAAAGGTCAGTCAGACTGTCTTTGTTTACTCTCATGTCATTTTCAACAGTTATGTTCTTCTGTGGAAAAGGAAGCAAAAGTAATTTCAAAACAACAGCCTTTATTTTAACTGCCTATCTAACAGGGTAAGACATGAATGCTTAAATAATAAGCATAAAACCACTTTCATGTTTGGACATGCCTAACATCCTATATGCTGCTGCAAGAAGCAGTACTATAGAAAAGCTAAGCTCTTCACGTTTTCTGTCCAGCTTCATCTTAAAGACAATGGTCATGTGTCCTCAGTGTGACCCACACAGGAGGCATAAAGGCCATTTCCAGTAGCAGCATCTTAACTGATGAATGCAACTGAAAATGGGGGACTGTATGGGGAGACAGAAAAAAGAAAGCAAACAATGATAACAGTTACTCCATCCTGTCAGAAAGGTATCTAGAGAGTAACTGTCATGAGCAGATGGGCAGGCTGGAGGTCTCACCCGGGATGTTCTTCCCCAAGTTTCCCTACTTCGGAAACTATATTAAACTGGAGCTCACCAGCCAGACCGCAAAGCGATTCTCAAACTGTGATTGCTGGACCAGGTGCAAGAACTTGTTAAAAATGGCACTTTTCAGGCCACGCTTCCAGAAACTCTGTGCATTGAACCCTGCAGTCTGTGTTTTCACACACTCTACGGTGATTGCGAGGGACCTAAAAAGTTTCACAACCACAGGGAAAATAGGTAATTGATACCTCTAAAAAATTCTACCCGGGCAGGGGGTGGAGAGTGAGGGGGTCAGGTTTGAGGAAATCAGAGAAAGAAGAGTACTGAGGGGGAAAACAAAAGGAAAACGACAAAACATGCCACTTAAAACCCCCCAACGTTTTCAGCAATTCTCTACCACTTTAAACTCATCACTTAAAAAAATTTTTTTTTTTATTTTATACTGGACGATTAACAATGTTGTGATAGTTTCAGGTGGACAGCAAATGGAAGCAGCCCCACATATACACAGATCCATTCTCCCCCAAACTCCCCTCCCATCCAAGCTGCCGCACAACACTGAACACAGTTCCCGGTGCTCTAGAGTATGACAAAACTCTTCACTTTTTTTTTTTTTTTTTGGTCTTATTTTTCGTCTGCTATCATAAGCCACAACAGCTGAAAAAGAGCAAACGCTGCTTTGAGAAGCCAGGAGCCCTGAGTTCTCCGGCTGCACCATCTAACGGCGGTGTGAACACAGAAGTCACTCCACCTGTCTGAGACTCAGTTTCCCCGTCTTTGAACTCGGTCAGTGTGGAGAAAGGACGACTTCTCCGATGCCCTCAAGGCCGGCAGCCGGGGACCGCCACCCCTTGTTCCCGTTCTTCCACGAGCTTCCCCAGCCCCTTTTGGCAGACCCCTGATCACACCCAGGCCGCGGGGGTCGTCTGGACTTCCCTTTCCCAACCATCGGAACCCCAAATGAGTATTCCTAACTCCCAGGAGTCCCTGGAACTCCGAGGCCTTCTCTCTCTCGGCAGGTGAGTGCGGAGACCCGGCCGGTCCGCGCGGGGCGGAGAGCGGCTCGACCGGGCGGCTGGCACGGCGGCGGCGGGTGTGTCGGGTGCCGCCGAGGACTACTCGGGGCGAGCTCAAGTCCCAGCGCCTCCCCGAAGCAGGCCCGCCCGCAGCAGCGCGCCGCACCTGCTCCAGGGTGAGGAGAAGGAACTCCTGGGACAGCAACTCCGGGTGCAGCAGCAGCTCCGAATCCGTGCAGCTGCGACCGCCCACATCCCCCGCCATCGTCGTCGCCAGGAGACCCCGGCCAGCTACCCACAAGTCTCCCGCGAGCAAGCGTCCCGGAAGTGACGTTACGGCAGGCGCGGCGGCCACGGGTGTGTAGTCACTCTGTGTGTGCGGCGCGTCGCGCTCCGCCTCTCCGGGCAGGCTAGGGTGCTGGGCGGGCTCTAACCGGAGAATATCCCCAGGGGCATAAAGAAGTGAAAGCGCTCCCTGCCGAGGAAACCGGCGTTTCCAGTCTGGCCGGAAGAGAGGGAAAGGCGAAGTTCACGAGCCACGATTGGCCGCGCCTGGTCGCGCCTCATATGACGTCAGAGACAGAGACCAATGGGAGTCCAAGGGCAGCCTCGCGGGAAGACGGCAAGGGAGGCCGATGGAAGTTAGTCTAAATATGGTGAGTAGTGTTTGAGAGCTTCTTGGTTTTGTTTTTTGAGCCTTTTTATTGTTTGTTTCCTAATGTTCCTTCAATATGATGTAAGGCCAGAGGCTTTAATTCCCTGGAACCCAGCGCCTGGCACATAGTAGGCACTCAAGTATTTGTTCCCGAAGTAATACTCGGAATGAACCTACTCACACATGAAAGTAAGGGCTACTCACACATGAAAGTAAGGGCAGCCGAGAAGTGCCGGTGACACAGCCGAACATTTGTTAGTTTCCCCAGCTCTGAGATGGGAATAACGCCCCTCACAGTGTTGTGAAGATGGAGCCAAAGTAGGACAAATCCCTCCCCAGTTACCTCTAGCTACCTGGAAATGTGGCTACCGGTTCTTGGGTTCCCCCCACCCCCCACCCCCCGTGGTTTTCAGGAGTTAACCTGATGCCTCAAGCTCTTCATCAGCAAAAACTTTTTATGGCAGGTAAGACCTGTGCTTTTTTTTTTTTTCCTTTAAGTATTTTCCAGTTTAAAACTAGAAGTACTTCCCTGGTTAAAACTAAATTCTTTCAGATAACTCTTGGTGTCTCTGAAACAAACGTTTCAGGATAGAAGGAGTGTCCCCAGAGCAAACGAATAAAATCAAGAGTTAGAGAGGAGGAAGTGTTAATAAGGTTTCAGCACCCTCCCCACTCCAGGGGAAGGAGAGACAGGATCTTCGGTAATGCCTGCCCTCACTCCATCCTAGGAAGAGCCTTAGAGAGAGGAGCCTCTGAAAACAGGTGGTCTGCTGTGTTTAGATCAGTTTCTGATGCAGAAGTAGGGTGGGGGGATAATTTGCCTTTCTAACGATTTTGAGGTGATGTTTCGAATGTGTACAGGCAGAAGGGCCACCTGAAAGAGATTTCTGCCAGATCGAAGCAAGGAAGCAACAGGCATCTGACCTGTAAGCCAGGCAGACACCGTGATTGGAGGCTTCAAGCCAGGCTTATCAGCACCTAAACAACAAGACTGAAAACCAAACGCCAGAGTGGACAAAGAGCACCTCTGAATTCCTGCTGGACCAGAGATGTGAGGACCAGACATCTCCTGCTTCTCCTCATCCTGGCACCTTACACATTAGCTAACCAGACACAGCCCTGAGGAAGGGCGCTGGCCTTCCATGATAAGATTATTGTCCCTGGCAGCTGAGTGGGCCTTAAAGTAAAAATAAAGTTCAGTTACAGAAAAAATATTCCAATTGTTCCACATTTGAGTTTGTAGACTGAAGTTCATTCCTGCTACAACAGTATCACCTGTATTATGACCTGAAACTGAAGTCGCTCAGTCGTGTCAAACTCTTTGCAACCCCATGGACTGTAGCTTACTTACCACGCTCCTCTGTCCATGGGATTTTCCAGCCAAGAGTACTGGAGTGGGTTGCCATTTCCTTCTCCAGAGGATCTTCCTGACCCAGGGATTGAAACCAGGTCTCCCATATAGTAGGCAGATGCTTTACCATCTGAGCCACCAGGGAAGTCATCTGTATTATATAGTAATCGAAAATGCTCAGGTTTTATTATGAGAATTTCCCCTTCTTCAGAGATCATGAGGTTTTCATTAACATTTTTATTTGGGACCTGTAGTTGACAAGAACAAAGCTGAGGAAAACCAACAAACACTGCCCTGCTTGGTGTCGTCACCTCACTGGTTATGAGCTCCTCTGGAACAGAGTCCAACCCCTGCCTCGGCCCTAGTAACACAGTGCTTACGCTTATTAAGTATTCAGTGTCTACCGAATGAATGAATCATGAACAAGATATATAATGAGAACCTGGGGTGTTGATTTCTCTCATTAGCAGTATAATACTAAGAATTCAGTTGTATCTATTCAATGTTTAATCTTCATTAATCTTTGAGGCCATCTTTTTCACACTCTATAGAATACCTTGTTTAGTATGGACCAAAGGGATATTTAATAAGGGTAATAAATGACTTCCCTGGTAGTACAGTGGATGGGAATCTGCCTGCCAATGCAGGGTACACGGGTTTGATCCTTGGTCTGGAAAGATGCCACATGCTGCAAGCAACTAAAGCCTTTGTTCCACAGCTACTAAGCCCACACTCCAGAGCCTGTGGGATGCAACTACTTAGCCCATGTGCTGCAATTACTGAAGCCCATGAGCTTAGAGCTGGTTCTCCACAAGAGAAGCCACTGCAATGAGAAGCTCGCACACCACAACTAGAGAAGAGCCTCTGCTTGCTGCAACCAGAGAAAGCCTTTGTGCGGCAAGGAAGACTCAGCACAGCCAAAAATAAATAAGTATCATAAATGAAGTTAATTGATAATTCCTTTGAAAATTTTCTTTTGATATTCTTAAATATGACAAATCAAAATAACATGAGGAGTATAAAATTAGCCAGGTGCAGATCTTTGCATGTTTATGGATTAGTTACATACAGCTGCCAGACATCTGAAATAGACTTCTCAAAAACTTCAGGAAGAAGGTTTGTAAGTGGAGTAACGTGCACGTGTGGAGTTTGCCATTTTAAGAATCTTATGACAAATTTTTTCAAAAAGGAAATAACTATTTCTGAATTATCTTCTTTTGCTCCTCTTTGTTAACACATTTTCACTCCTAGATTGTTTAAAACAGAACACAAATGTTCCATAAACTATTCAACTACCAGAGCTTAATTTTATGTATAAAAAATCTCACCGTGTTGTTGAGTTCTTAGCCTTGCTCACTCTTGTGGACTTTAGGGGAAGTCTTTCACTTTGTGTCTGTTAATTCCTGTGTACAATGTAGAAATCAGTAGTGCCTACTTCATAAGGATATTGCTTAAATGAGGTCACCATGGTAAGCCCCTTAGCCCTGTTGTCTGGCTGGCAGTCAGTAGGTGTCACCTCTACCTAATCTCATGCCAGCTCATGGCAGAGCACTGAAATGACAAGGCAGAGTGGATTCTAGGCCAAGTGGGCCAGTGATGAGCTGATGACCAGTCACATTCTCCATGGGCCTGGGCAAAATGAGATGGATGAAAACTCGGGTGGAGCCAGCTCCCTGGCTCCACCAGACCTGCACTTGCCCTTGAAGCACAGGTAGCTGTACACTCTGGAAATCCTTTACCCACCTAGAGGTTGGGCCAGTGATGCTGGATCCACAGGGTCAGGACTGAAACTCTGTCTGGGGCAGGTGGGACGTGTGTGGCAAGAAGGGAAGGATGTAAGAGGTCACAGAAAATTAATTCCTGATGATATGTTATTTGCTTCATTTGACTTTTTGGGGGTCATTTGTTTTCCTCCCTTAGAAACAGAAGGCTGCAGAGTAGTAGCTGGTATCTGCCTCTAGATTGGGGGTGACATCTTTGTTTTATATTCTCCAGGGGCTGGAGGAAAGCTGAGGTCTTGGGGGCCTCTTAAAGTCAGGAAAATCATTGAGAAAATTGGGCTTTTTATATGCTGATAATTGCGCACTGACGGCCCTAGAGGGAATTTTCTTTTTCTCTGTGGAACTGGAGTTTGACTATATGTTGGAAGACAGGCTCATGGATTCATCCTAACCTAGGACTCTGCGCTGTAGCTTGACCCAAAGGGATAGCTATCGATGGGCGCTCCTGAAGGAGTGGGTAAATTGTCCTGGACTCCCTGCTTCAGTAAGGACACCCTGCGAATTCACCGCCCCTGGGGCTCGGGTCTAGCTGTGGGCCTGGGGCGGGCGGCAGGCGGCTCGTGCCCGGCTGTCCATTTCAGCCCTACGGGGGCCACCAGCCGCCATCCACTCACTCCTCCAGTCCAACTACGTCAGGTGGCCGTGCCGTCCAGCCTTTCCCAGGATGGAGGGATGGGTGGATTCACGTGTTCGTTCAGCAAGTACACTGCCCAGCGCCGTCGCGGTGCTAGAAACAGGGCGGCGAGCGTGTCCAGCAGGCCGGGGGGAGGAGAAAGCGCGGCCCCGGCAGCTGCAGCCTTGCCGCGTTACCGACCCCGCCCAGGGCCCGGCAGGCTCCGCTCGTGCGCCGCGAAGATCGGCGCGTCTCCCCGCCCACCGCCCCCCGCGAGCCCCGAGGCAGGCGCTCCGTGCCCCCCAAATCCGGGGCATCCGAGGCCGGAGCCCAGGGTCGGGGCGGGGACGTGAAGGGGGTTAGGGGGCGACGGGTACGAGCAGGTGCGCGCGGGCAGTTGGCGAGGAGGGGACTGCGGCCGAGCGGGGGGTGGGCGCGCGGCGCGGGGACCCGGCGGGTGTGCAGCGTGCGCGTGTTAGGGTCTGGGAAGACCCGAGACCCCGTCCGGGTTTGAGTGAGCTGTTGTCGGGGGAGGAGCCCAGCAGGACGACGCCCCGCGCCCCGCGCCACTCCAGCCGGGCTTGCGATGATTTAGTCTCTGTGGTTGACATCTGGAGCTCCTGCGACTTGAGAACGCAAATTCCGGGCCACATTCGAGCCCGGCTGTCTGGCCTGAACTGGGAGACCGGGCAGGGGTGTGTGATGGGAGGCGGGGATTCCTCGCCGCCGCCGTTCTGCCCTGGGACGCAGGTGCTATGGAAGTTGGCTTCTCCTCTGCCCGCCTTCTGTGTTTTAAGAGGTGGCTTTCAAAACAGAAGCTGCCACCTCTCGTGGCTCGCACCTGCCATCACTGCCGCCAAAGGCTTCGAGTGACCACCACCGCACCACCCCCCCCCTCCCCCCCGCCCCCGGCCCTAGCTGGCTGCCGGAAATGGGGTTTCACACAGCTCTTCTTCATGCACATAGGTCGTATTGAGTTCAGGGGTCCCAACCTGTCAGGTCAGGGTTCCATGCTTGAGCAAGTGCCCGGGGAGGGCAGGCAGCCCTGGAGACAGTGGTGGCAGGTGGAGACCCGGGGAGAACGTGTGTGGAGGGTCCCCTGCGGTGTAAGCCGGCAGCCCGGCCCGGGGCTCACGGCTGGCTGGAGGGAGCCCCGAGCCCACTGCCCCTCCTCTGGCCTCTCTTCTCTGTTGGTCAGCAGAAAACTCCAGCCTTATGGTCGGATAGGAAGGAAGAGCTGGACAGCTGCTTCCTTTTCTTTTTCCTTCCATTTCTGCTAGCCCTGCCGCCTCCGTGATCACTGAAGCGGCCTCTCTGGTGTATGGCCTTCCCAGGCCGGGTTCTTTGCTTAACAGGGGCAGAGCGAAGAGGTGGTGGGAGAGGGGGGATGGAGATGTGGGTTCAAATCCTGCCCCTGCCCCTTCTAACTGGGAGCCCTGGGCATCACTGGACGTTCTGAGCCTCAGTTTCCTCAATCAAAACTAGGGAAATAAGAGAAAAGATACGTGCAACACATTAAGAGAATGTGCATGTGGCACAGAGCCTGGCACTTAGTAGGTGCTCAATAAATTATGGTCAGTAGACAAAAACGAAGTCATGGGGCCAGAGCTGTCTGGGCTCTGAAGTGGGTGGGCTCGGCTCTGAGTAATTGTTAACCGGTGAGGGCTTGCCTCTGCAGTTAGACCCCTCCTGGACTCTGAACTCCAGAATGCACATTTTCTGTGCACATTTTACAAAGACACTGGGGAACAGGTGTGGTGGTAGCCCTCACCTGCAGGTCCGTCCTCTGCCTTTTCTCTTCCACTCGACAGTGAACCTCAGCCCTCTGGTTCTGGAGGCAGCTTGCCCTCCACTGCAGGCTCCCAGGACACTTCAGCCTCTGCCTAACCCTCCAGCGGCAGGGGTTTGCCTAGGGTCCCTTTCTCCTTCAGGCAGATCCAGTGGACAAGTTTTAAAAGCACAGAGATAAGTGTTTAAAAAACGCTAAACTTTCCAGGCCCGATTTGCAGCTAACCTTTCTGTTCTTACACAAAACATTATGGCTTATTCCTTCATGCTAGTATTAAAATTTTGTGATCCTTTAAGAAAACTCGAGGAAATTTTCCTTAATGGGTTAAGCATCTTCATCTTGGCCCGAGCCCAGTTCTCATTAGAAATACATTAAAGTAATCATTTGTGGTGGCCAGGTGTTTGGAGACTGCCCAAGAATTTGGCCGGTACTTTACAACTCATCTCTTCTGTGGCAAACCTGACCCGTTCTTCTTTATTAAAAAACACTGTACTACTAAATGAAGGCAGAAGTAGCAAGCTAATTTGGGGCTGCTCTGAGTGAGCTGGAGCCTCATGCAGAAGGGCAGGAGGAGTCACTGAGCATGCTGTGAAATCTTGCAGGTGATTTGAGGTCAGGATCTTGTCTTGATGGTCAGGTAGCTGCTGTGGGGGAAATTAAACATTCAGGAAAAAGAACAT